TAATTTTTTTTTCAAATACCTTAACATATATTTTCTATTTAATATTTTGATCATTCAATTTTTTTTTTATCTCATCTTCTTTTCTTCCAATAATCTATATAATAAATTCAGCTTCTGGAATTTTTTTTTCTTTATTTTCTTTTTCACTTAAAAAAAACTATAATAAAATTTTTCTGTTCATCAAATTTTGAATTTGTGTTTTATGGCTAATGATTTCCTATCCAATAATAAAAACAAATATAGTTTTTTTTTTCCAATTGACATGTAATTGACTTTGATTCTACGCTGTTTTAATACTCTTGAGAAAAAAAAAAAACAGGGGAATGATTTTTTATAATATATAGTGGATGAGATTAAAATTTTTTTTGAATATAAAATATTTTAGAAATATTAAATATAAGTAAATGAGAAAAATAATTTTCTCGCCTTCACAATGTTAAATGACTGTAAAAGTAATTTTTTTTATTATGATTACTATTATTATTATTATTATTATTATTATTATTATTATTATTATTATTATTATTATTTATTATAGAATAAACTATTATCTAAATATCTTGAAATTTTGAATAACAATGAAATATTTAATCATTTTTCATGAGATTTATCCCAAAAATTATTATATGAAAAACAACATTATAAATAGTAAACTGTTATCTTTTTTACCTCGCCTCTCTAACTAAAATATGTTGGAGTAAATACAAAGAAATACTGGAAATCATATTTTAATTTGTAAATATACCATTTAATAAATATTTAACACTTGCAAGATTAGTTAATACACTATTACATTAACAACTATTTAGAAAAGGTAATAATTTTTAAAAATAGTTAATGATTAATTTTCTACTAAAGCAGATGTGTATATATCACATTATCATTCAATAAGACAATTATTTTTCATATGAAAAAAATAGTATGGATTATAGAATTTTATTTATAATATTTAATGAAAAACTCGTAAATATAACTTCAACCGAAATTCCAAGTTAAATTAGGACAATCTCACATTCAAATAGCATCTTAAACAAGTGTTTATCACTCTAACTTCTTCTAGAAAAATATATGTCAATAAAATTAAATAGTATCTTATTCAACAAGTTTTAGACAAGAAAAAAATATTAATAATATACTTATTTATATATTTCAAATAAAAAATTATTCAATTAAATTTTTTATTAATTTATTTACTTGAGGAAACATGTTTTCTTCTCTCACCTCATAATTTTTATTTTTATTTTTTTCTCCCTATTCATTTAGTTGTTGTTTATCTCTTTTATTATATATCACACCCTTCTCCTATCTACTCTTTAAATTAAAAATTAATGTATTAAAATTTATTAAAATTATATTAATATAAAATTTGTAAAATCAATATTAAAAAAATCATATAATTATTAAAATTATGATCACAATAAATAATTTTATTTATTATGACAATAAATAATTTATTTACAATAATATAAATAATTAAATTTAAATTATTGTATCATAATAAATCAATTATATATTTAATTAAAAAATATCAAATATTTATGAGTTTAATGTATTTATTTAGTAATTTAATCTAATTATAATTAAGTTGAGTTAGGAAAATTAGTTATATTAAATAATTTTAAAAAAAATTATTAAAAATTTATTTTTAATAATTATAACATAACAATATACCTTAAATTTATTATTAATATTTTTAAATATAATATATTAAATTACAATAATTTAAATATTTTTATTTTTTAATATAATAAAAAACTTATTTTATCAAATTTTAATTTAGTAATTTTAAGTATAAGAATAAGATGAATGATAGAAAAAAAAAACAAGATAAAAAAATGAACAAAGAAAAATAAAATAAACATATTATATATGATAAATTTATTTCTCAATAAAAAGGTTTGAAATTTTTAGTCATTTTAACAATTTAATACACTAACAACCAACAATATCCCAAAGATGTTTAACCTTATTCTTAAGAATGTCAAACCCTACGAATTATAATGAAGATACCCATCTCTAAAATAATTTAAAATATAAATTATATTTATATATTCATTATTATTTTAAATATTTAATTAAGTCTTTCAATAATGATTTGAAATATTTAATAATTTTTATATTGATAAGAGAGTTCATTATATGTATTTTGATCTATTTTTTAATTTTTTTAATTATGTCTTACATCTATAAATACTTTTATAAAAAAATAAAATATAATAAATTAATTTTTTCTAATTTATGAAGCAGCGGTCATTGATATGGGGATCTTTTACTGGATATGGAGGATCGATTTGTCAGATTACTTATCTTGGAAGAATAGTATTGAGAAATATTTTGAGTAATAATAGAAATATTTTATGCGAGTGGAAAGTTGAATTATTTAGATAAAGAAAAAAAGAATAGAAACAACTGAAAAGTAAAATAAAATTATTTATTAATTTAATATTTTTTTATATAATTATTTATTATAATAATATAAAAAACCAAAAAAAATATATTTAATATATTTATGTATATGATATCGTTAAAGAATTAAGTTCAAAATAATTTATATAAATATATTCTTTTAATTTATGAACATATTTTTTAAATATAAAATTATAATAAATAAAATTTTTAAAATAAATAATATCTCAAATATAAAAATTTATTCTAATAATATTATCGTAACAAACATAATATTAATAATAATATCTACTATAACTCAAAAGCTGATTTTTTTTAACAATATTATTATACCAAACACAGGTAAAAACACTTTCATTCCTAAACTCGAAAGTCTCATTACTCACGTTATCCTGTAATTAGTTTATTATGTATATTTATTCATTATTTACGTTATCCTATAATTAGTTTTTTTGTATATTTATTTATTATTATTCTCTGTTATTCTTAAACGCTGTATTTTAATTTGAAATATCTATTATAATATTTATTATTTATTTTTTAATAATTTTTTTATTTATCATAGAATATAAAACTCGTAACACTTTTATGGTGAGATAATAATTGAAGGGAAAAAAAGCAAGACTAAAAAAACATTCAAAAAAAAAAATTAAATGACTTGTCATATTTTTTCTAAACCGATAAAATGTGTTTGTAAGCTAATAAGTTTTACAATAATTTGTAAAAAAAATCTTAACTATATAAAACCAATAATTTTTATAATCTAATTTGTAAATCATAATCAATTATTTCCATCTAAAAATTCATATTTTTTCTTAATTGTAATTTTAGTTGTTTTCATTTTGTATAACTACTTTTTTAACTCTATTTTTTCTTGGCTCTTTATTTAAATTTAGAACAAGTGGGGATTTCCTTTCTTATTTAGCATTGTCAATAAGTACTATAAAGATAATATTTGTAATAATAAATGTAATGAAATATAAATCTTGAACTTTATTACATTGTATAATTAATGAATTACATTAATGACTGCTTATTATACGATATTTTTGACCCAAACATATTTGAATCTGGTGGTGTTCTAAAATAGTTAAAGTTAAAAGTTATTTTTTCAAATATATGAAGTATAATAAAAATTGTGATTTATTAAAAAAATTAATTTAATAAATGTAATATTCATCAAGATAAAAAGAAGAGTTAATTTATAACACATTTTTATTAAATATAATTTTTGTAAAAGAGAATCGTGATTAATCCGAATCAAATGATGTGATAGCAGAGAAGTGTTTGTGATGTATTAAAGGTTCGATTGATTCCAAAACAACACCTTCATCAACTTTAACATCTTACATCCAACGCCACGTTTCCCTTTAATCTCTCTCTACACGTCTATTATTGTGGTGTGGCCCAGACCAATCTCCACAAATACTAACAACAACATAATTCCTACTCTCCATACCATACAATCTTCTAACAACACGTCAACATTTACATGTCTTCTTCCCGTTCCCATGCCATCAAATCATGCCAAATATCCTAATCTCGAGTTGGATTGAAAACTAACTTTGAGGAATGAAAAAAAAATAAAAATATATATATATATATATATATATATATATTCAAGTAAATAAAAAAAATGTATAAAAAATTAAATAAATTTATTTATTATTTTGATACAAATTTTTAACTATTTATTATTATAATAATAGAAAAATAAAAATATATTAATTAAATTTTTTAAACATAATTAATTATATATTATACATTAATCAATTATGTAAGTAAATATTATATAATACTTACTTTTACTATGTATAATACATAATTTGAAATTTTTAAAATTTTATCGTCTTTCTTGACATAAGAGATGATGGATTTTTTTCTTTACTTTGTATTTTGTTGTATCGAAATGTATAAAATTAACATATTTTTTTCTTAAATTATTTCTATAGTTGAAAATGAACAATTTATAAGAAAAATGTTTGGTTGAGAATTCAAATATTCATCTCACAACCCATTCTACTAGTATAATAATATTATCTAATATTTTAATAATTTTTTGGGTTATATTTTGAATGTATAAGTTATGAATAGATTACCTGCTAAAAATCTCATTATTTGATTAGACGTAATTCAATTCACGCAAACAGTTCAATGTTTCAAAACTCGCAAGGCGCACTTCATGCATTAATTGCGGCCGACAATAATTTGCGAGAGTTTGAATTTTGAAATGTCAGAAGTTGAGTCTCTGCTAATTTCACACATCCATGAAAATGTCATAAAATCTTACCCTACCATGCTTTCTAGATACACGCGTGGTGAGATTCATAAATACAAGGCCTGGTTTTGTTTTATTCATGATTTGTGCTATTTTTTTCAGTTTTTCTGCACTTTAAAGATCTAGCCTCCATTATGAGAGTTAGCATCTAAAAGCTCGAAAAACTATATTTGAAACCTGAAACTAAATACGCAATATAAGTGTATTAACTAGGGCGAAACAAAATCTGCATGAACTTTTGATCAATTATGTTAATATTGAACCAAGGCTACATCAACCCAACATCATCATCATCATCATCATCAACTATGACATTTTACAGGGAGGAATGAAAGAAAAGACAAATAGCTGAAATGTCATCCACGGCAATGCCCCTTCTCTTGCGTTTCCATGCACGCACCGCAGACTCCACCAAACGTTTAGCAGCCTTAGCTTTATCTGCTGTTGAAGATACGATTTCCACTGCTTCTTTATTAGATATTACATCCCAAACCTGCATCACAACACCAATACATTGTGTTAACATTGCTAACTATTAATTTCAATCACAAACATTTTCAAGGACAGGATTCCATACCCCATCAGTGGCTAGCACAACAAATTGGTCTCTAGTACTTATATTTCTGTGTGTTACCTCAGGCACAGAAATTAGACCATGCCCTTTAATGCAGTAGTCACCAAAGGCCCTAGACATGGCTAGTCCTGGAGATTCTGCATCAGGTAACCACACCCTATGCACCCCTGGCTCGTCCTCTAGGCAGAACACACGCCCCTGGCACTCAATTATCCTCTCTGCCTCCTCTGCAATTATATGTCATGCATCGCCACAATGAGAAGCCAAAACAATTTATAGATGAACAGAGAATTATAGAAACACACTGAAAAAACTAACGAGGTAAATTGGGCTTGAAATCGACTGTTAGTTGAACCGCTACCAAACTTCCATCATCAGATGTTGTAGCCAACACAGCACGAGAATCACCAACATTTGCTACGACAATGAGTTCACCCTGGCCATCATGGAATAGTTGGGATTAGTTTCGAAGCAACTCCACTAACATTGCTTGGTTTATTATGAATATGAATCTAACTAATAAAATATAACAAGTGATCGTTGATTACTACAATAAGTAGACTGTTTTTAGGAGAAAACTTCAATATGAATCCTATGTATTTTTGGTATTGATTTTCAGTCAAAATTGAAGTTGCGCTTAGTTAATCTATATTGATAATGAATGCAAATTTATATTATGGGAATTACTGAGATGAAATTTTTTTTTTAATAAAAAACATTTAAGGAACCACAAAGTTTCGTCCTTGTTTTTTTACCTGTTTAACAATGGATAGGGCAGTTGTTCCGCTGTAAAATGAGTCTATCTTGCGGTACTGCTCCAGTTCTTGATCAATGGCAGCACAAGTCTTCAAATAAGAGTGCTTCCACACGTTGAATCGGTATAGTTGCCTTTTCTCTTCCTCTACATCAATTCCAGAATCAACTGAAGTTTGGGCTAGTGTCTCTTGCCAGTTGCATAGCAAAGATGATGGCATTGACTCTCTTACTCTTTTAGCCACAAAGTGACCCCATGGTCCATGCCCATCAAAAACCCCACAGAAGATCATGTCCTCTTGACATCCAAATTCCTACAAACAACAACAAAACACCCACTTTCATAATAAACAAAGGGACCACACATAACCACTCACTCACTAATATGTGAGTAAGCTTTGATTGAATTTCATTGAAGTAGGTTCTTGTTATTGGTATTATTATGGCAATTAAAATAATTCTTCCCATAACTACATGACAAAGAAGATAAAGATATTTCAGTACTAATATCTGCATAATACCTCCCACACTATGCAGCAATCTTGGTTCACTCCTTTCTGACCTCTTTTGGAGAAAACGGAGGCAAAGTTGTTTGAACCATCGACATGAACTATGCCAGAGCTACACAGCATCATGTCATTCCTCTTAGCCTCCTTTGCCATTGCTTCAGCAGCTTCCCTCCCTCCACATTTCTCATTCTTCCTTCTTATCTTCATTGAAAACGACCGTGCCAACCCATTGAACATCGAGGAAAAATGCCCCATCAACGCTACAACGTGATTCCCCCGCACGTCACTTTTTGTGGTTTTCTCGTCTATAGTGTTGAATCTGCATTGAAATTAGGTAGAGATTACTAAACGTATATATACGCATACGGAACAAAGACAATGCGGAGCAGGTGAGAATTCTACAACAGCCCATAGGAAGGAACCGTTTTAAATTTTTTATTTGTATCTTTGCCTTTTTCTACATACTTCCTTCTCAAATAAAAATGAAACGTGCAACAAGTTGAAGGATGCCGTGACTGAACATAAGGACAATTTCTGATTCAGCAAGCTTAGAATCTAAGAATTTAATATTTATCATAAATTTTAAACTTTGAACCACAGATTATGCAGAACAAAGAATATTCATTCTCACGTTGAATTCCAGGGCTGTAACTGGAATTATTTCACTGCCCGCAGAGGCATGAAAATTAAAAATATCTTCGTACACATCAAAGTAAATATGAACAGAGAAAGAGAAAGGAAACAATGCAAGTTTAGCTTCTTTAATATAGCCCCCATTACATGCCCACACATTGGTTTATTTATTGCAATAGAAAAATATAGACCGAAATCGATCTGTGTATTGGTAACTGAATTGGGACATAAAAGTAAAAGTAAAATTTGGTTTCTTTCTGGCTTGCTTTCTCGTTGGATTCAGTGTCATCGAAAAAAAAAAACATACTGCGCTGTTGAACATCAGAAGCATGTTTGAAAAGAGATTCTGAATATTAATTAAAGTTAGAGTAATAAAATTTCAACACCTGCGAAAAACAAAATTTGAAAGAAACATGATAAGTCACATGGCACAACCCATGTACACCGGAACATGTTGAAACACCATTTAAGAGAGGACCATAATCGACTTTAACCCTGCAAAATAAAAATGAAAGAAGCGAAAACATGTTGAAGATGACTGACTCTGTCCCCACCTCCACTCAAATTCATCAAAGTCAGGACAGAGACAAAACATCTAAGGAAACAGAGAGTAATTTGTGAAGGTTCTGGCTCAATTTAAAAACTCCCCCATTTGTTTTTTTTTTTTTTAGTTTTGAAAGAAGAAGAAGAAAGTGAGAAAGAAAGAAAAATGAAAAGACAAGAACCTTGGAGTTTGTTGCTGGGGGAACTAGAGAGGGTGAATCTGAGGGAGTAACCGGAGAGGGTGGTGCGGTGGCCGGAACAGGAGGGAATTCCGACAGGGCAAGGTGAGAGTTGGAGAAAGCAAAGATGAAGAGAGTTCAGAATCCATCATGGACCTTTGTTTTGTTTGGTTCTAGTTCCTTCTTCACATCCTTTTTTATCTACGGCATAAGGACACAACAAAACAAAGACACTTTTACAAACAAACCATACCAGCTAACTGCACATAAATTTGTGTTTATGGCTATTATTTTCTTTCTACATTAAAACATATATAATAATACTAACAACCACGGAGATCATTTAACATATAGTGTATATATAAGTTGATTAAATATTCAGAAGAAAATACAAAAAATGAGAGAAAAAGTGTTCCATAAGATAATTATTAACGACATAAGCACAAATGAAAAACACTGTACGTGTGATGTAGCTCTTTTAATTAACGTGTTTAATTCAGAGAAGAAATCCTCCACATTGATCTATCACCTTTCTCAGCTTCAGCTAGTCATAGTCAAGTTTCTTGGCTACAAAGCTTTATGCAGCCTCTTCTTTTTTTACCATAAGTGGTAGGTTCTACACCAATTTTCATTTTTTTACCCTAAATATACATTATATGACTATTTCAATAGTTTTTTTTCTTTTATATATAATAAAAAAAATGTTTTTTATCCCACAATTAGTCGTCAATTGTACACATGTGATGTTTTCTGTAGAAGGTACATGTATGTAGGAAATTATTGAGTTGTCATTTGTTTTTCCCCTACATGTGGGAAGATAAGCATCATGCAAATTTTGAAACAATATGGTTGATATGGACACCCAAACAGTGGGAATCTTTTTTATTGTTTAGAAGAAATTGGCCATTTTTATAACGTTCATATTTTTTTGAAATATTCTTATGCTGTTCTGCAGAATCGGGCATTATTGTGTCTAATGTATCAAAGTCTTAAAAAAATAAGATTAACAGGTAAATGAAGGATCGTTTCCTCGCAATTCTGGACAAAATTGCAGCTAACTTAAAAGAAAGAATATAATGGCTTTCATTTTTTTAATTAAAAAGAAGGCTGTTCTGTAGATAATATAACCTTCTATATTTCATTGCAATAATTGCTTAAAAACGTTTATGTATTTAAAGATTGACCTGAAAAAAAGAGAGTTTGATGTTACATCAAAACTTCAAAAGGCTTGATTGACTCAGCATCCATATATATATATATATATATATATATATATATATATATATATATATATATATATATATAGGTAAACCATTGAAACTATATTATAAAGGAAAAGAAGAGTATGTCAGCAATGGATTAGTGTTTGGTAAACTTGGCCAACAAGACCGTCCAAAACCCTAATTTGCCATTATCATCTCATTATTTTACATAAATCAAGATATAAAATATATGAAAAGTAGTTGTTATCCCCAGTGGAATAAAATTTAATGTTTCTATGGGATGACTACTGGGAAGGCCAATCATAGGAAGCCATTTCATTAGTAGAAAATGAAATAAAATAAAATAATTATTTTATTGAGTTTGAGTCACGTTGATGATTGCAAAGCCAATTGAAAAGTGTAGCGCAATTAGTTTCGGAGGCTATCTTAATTTGGTAAAAAAAAGAAGAAGAAAAGAATGCAGATTATATTGCGTAATAGTTGGTTCGATTCCTAATTAAAATTATCTTCAATTTTTTAACAGGTAATAATATGTTTGAATTATTATTATTATCAAAGTATTTTTCCATGAATATTCATTTTAAAAAACCCTGTTTATGAATTTTGGAATTTGGATCTTCCTTGATAACAACAGGGAGGGATATTTGTTGAAAAGGATCAGAGAAGCATGTTCTCTGTTTCTAGGTTTTTTCCCTACCAACAAATTCCTTTGTGTTCTGTGGATTGCAGAGACAGAGAGAATATCTACTTGTTCAATATCATATTTTATATGAAATTACAATATTAATTATTTGTTTGTTGTAAATTATAATTCACGATTCTTAATCTTAAATATAAAGATGATTTTTATTAAAACCAATTTTGTTTTGTACAACTTTCCTCGGTTCCGTGTACAAATATTAATCATGTTTACGCATTCTACAAAGGTGATGTGGGACTAATAATCAATAAGCTGCCCACAGATTAGACCGTGAACTAAAAAAACATTACTTGTCACAGTATGAGGTTTTCAAAAGGCAGAGTAGGACAAGAAAAGTTAGTACTCTTTCCTTAAATATATTAAAAGTTAGCTTTGCTTCAATTGGAAATCCAATTCCATGTTAGTAGTTACGTTTCAGAAAAAATCAGGAGCACTGTATCTACTGCTACATTTCTGATTTCACACTCAAAAAAGGTTTTCATACTTTGATTTGATTCCTACCCTGGATAAATACATGTACCACTTACTTCTCTCTCGAATTCACTTTAACTTTTACGCTGGACAGCACAGAGAAAAACCTTTTTATTTCTCCTAACCTAGTTACTAGACATGCTGCTGTGATTCCTCGTAATTAATGTTAAGGATTCTACCTTTGGTTCACCTTCATTCCATTAAGGTGTGTTTTAGGTAACAAAAGGACAAACCGAAAGTTCCACACGCTAAGAGATTAAATTAAGAAGAACAATAAAAGAATACACAGGTTTGAGTTTGTGAAGCACACGACAAGTTATATGAGGATATGGCATGTGAGAATTTTGCAGTAGTGTATGCAATTTGCAGTAAACAATAAAATGACCCCACTGAACTATAAATAAAATTGCACCGAATGCTTATGCTAGTTTCTTAACATTGCCCCTCCAAAAGGATAATGGGAGCGCATGCTTGATGTAATGTGGAAAGGTGAGTGAGTGTTCTTGATCCACCTCAAATCTCAATTCTCATGGTCCCCTCTTATCAACATTCCAATGAACCAAGTAAACCTCTTAAAGGGAAATCGTGCTCTTCATAAACACAATGCTGCATGTCTTTGCAAATAAGTTCATTCTTCAACGTTATTTTGTTCTTGAAATTATTAAATCAAGAGTATAGCTTTCTTGTATCAGTATAGGTGTACGTCAATATGTGTAAATATATAAAAATATTTTTTATCATTAGTTTGTTAGGTTGTTAGAATAATTGTTGAACTGTACAACTGTATCTTTCTTATATATAAAGAATGCATGTATCTCATTGAGTATTATTTAGAATAACAAACATTTTCTGTTTTTAATTCTGTTTTTATTTTTCTGATATGGTATCAAGAGTAAACGATCTTGTTTCTCTTTAATTTTTTTTTTTCGCTTATCTTCTTCCTTCTCAGAGCTTCTGTCATGACACTTTCCACCATTTCTAATTCTCAATTCTTTTCCACCTCTGTCACCGAACGTCTTAATGACTCTAATTATCTTCATTGGAAACAACAAGTTGAACCGGTTATCAAGTCCCATAAACTTCAGTGTTTTGTTGTCAATCCGTAGATTCCTCCGCGCTACCTCAACGATGTCGATCATGCTTCCGATAATGTAAATCCTGCATTTGAGGCGTGGGAAGTTCAAGATCAAACGCTTTTGACATGGCTTCAGTCGACATTGTCAAAATCGTTTTGTCTCGCATCCTTGGTGCAACTCGCTCCTACGAGGTATGGGAGACGATCCATGAGTATTTTCAACTGCAAATGAAGGTTCGTGCACGACAACTTCGCACTGACCTTCGTTCGGTTCAGTTGGACGGTAAAACCATGAGTGAGTACCTTTTGCAAATCAAAAGCATCGCTAATGAACTATCTGGTGTTGGCTGTCCGGTAAAGCATGAGGAATATGTTGATGTCATTCTCCTTAATCTTCCGCAAGAATATGCACCAGTTGTTGTTGTTATTGAAGATATTTTCAAAACACCTCCGGTCAATGAAGTTGAAGCTCAACTCCTTTCCTTTGAGTCTCGCAACAATCGTTTTCATCAGCAGTATATTCCGGTGGTCAATTATGCGTCACATAGTGGTTTTGGTTCTCGAGGTGGCTCATCTGGAGGTCGTAGTGGCTATGGTGCCTACGATGCTAGTCGTGGCAGTGGAAGTGTCCCTGATTGTGGTGGTCGTCGTGCTAGTACTCTTGGTCATGGTGGTTGTTTTGCAAACTTTCAGTGCCAAATATGTTTAAAATTTGGTCATACTGCTAATGTTTTCCATTTCCGAGCTAATGTATCCTATCAACCACCAGATTCTATGGTGTTGTATGATCCTACAACACAACAACCTGTTAATTTCAAAAGTTCCAACACTTGGACTAATCCTAATCTCAAACTTGGTACTCCTACTACTATGGTTATTGATTCCCCTTCTCAAGGAGTTTCTACTGAAGCTCATACCACTTGGATTCTAGATTCAGGGCCCCCCAATCATGTTACTAATACAACTCAAAACATCACTCAGTTTTCCACTTTGATGGTCCTGATCAGATTTACATTGGTAATGATCAAGGTTTGAAAATTAAGGGTTCTGGTTCTTCATCTTTCATCTCTCCTTTTAATTCTCAAGTTTCTTTTCACCTTAATCATTTACTCCATGTTCCTGACATTACTAAAAATTTGTTGAGTGTGAGTCAGTTTGCTAAAGACAATTCAGTCTACTTTGAGTTTCATCCTCACTTATGCCTTGTCAAATCTCAGGCAACTCATGAAATTTTACTTCAAGGTGCTATTGGTTCCAATGATCTCTATTCCTTTCCCAATCTTAGGCTGCACAATACTTCTGTTTCTGCTGCTTACTCATGCAAAAGTAAGGCTCCTGTACAACTTGTCCCTGTACATCCCTTGGCTACTGTCACTACTATTGATGTTCAGCTCCAACTGTTTTAACTTCTAGTTCTAGCAATCTTTGGCACACTAGGCTTGACCATCCACATTTACATGTATTGAAGCTTGTTCTCAATCAATGTAAACTTGGTTCAGTAAATAAAAATACTGTTGACTTTTGCAATTTATGTGTTATTGGCAAATCTCATCGTATACCTTCTGTTATTTCTGATTCTGTTTATGCTACTCCATTGGAATTAATTTACACAGACTTATGGGGTCCCTCTCATGTAATTAGTTTTTCTGGTTATAGCTATTACATTGCTTTTGTTGATGCTTTTTCCAAATATACTTGGATTTATCCCTTAAAAGCCAAATCTGAGGCTCTCACCATGTTTCAACATTTCAAATCTATGGTTGAACTTCAACATAATCATAAAATAAAGAGTGTGCAGTTTGATTGGGGGGGGGCGCGAATTTAGACCTTTCACATCCTTTTTAGCCTCTCATGGCATTAGTCATAGACTTATATGCCCTCACTCATCATCAAAATGGGACCGTTGAAAGAAAACATTGTCATATTGTTGACATTGGACTTACTTTACTGCATCATGCTTCTTTACCATTAAAAATTTGGGACTTTACCTTCATGACTGTTGTTTATCTATTTAATAGGTTACCTAGTGTTGCACTCAATTTTGTTGTTCCTTATATAGTTTTGTTCAAAACCTCTCCTAATTATAATTTTTTAAAGTCATTTGGTTGTGCCTGTTTTCCTCTCTTACGACCTTACCATGCTCATAAACTTGACTATAGATCACAAGAATGTCTCTTCTTAGGTTATTCTCATGTTCACAAAGGTTATAAATGTCTTTCTACTTCTGGCAGAATTTACATCTCCAAGGACGTTATTTTTAATGAACAAAAATTTCCTTATACTCATTTGTTCCCTCAATATCCTGTCTCCTCCTCCACTTTACCTCAATATTTCACTCTCCAACTTAACTTGTCACCTTCTACTTCCACAATTGCATCCTCTTCTGGTAATTTACAATCATCTTCTTCATCTCATGTTCCTGTTGCTTCCCATTGTTCAAACACTAATTCTACCACTCAAGGTTCTATTTCCAACAGTTTAGCAGAAGAAATTCCAAGAACCATCAATAATCACCCTATGCAAACCCGATCAAAGTCTGGAATACACAAACCTAAACTCCATCCTTCTCTATTTATGGTGCATTGTGAGCCTAAATCTGTTAAACTTGCTCTTGTTGATCCACAATGGTTTGCAGCTATACAACAAGAATACAATGCTTTAATGAAGAACCAGACCTAGGCTTTAGTCCCTCTCCCACCTAACAGGAAGGCAGTAGGCTGTAGATGGGTTTTTCGCATTAAAGAGAATGCTGATGGATCTATAAATAAGTACAAAGCCCGATTAGTTGCCAAGGGGTTTCACCAAGTTCCTGGATTTGATTTTCATGAAACATTTTCCCCTGTTGTTAAGCCTATTACTATTAGAATTATTCTCACTTTGACTCTCACAAATGGTTGGGACTTGCTTCACATTGATGTGAACAATGCTTTCTTGA